AGATGAGCTTCAAACTCCTAACTAGATGCGGTAAGCTTTACTAACTACAAAATACTCATTTAATTCGAATTTACTACACAAGTCGGATGTTTGAAGCTCATCTTCATCAAATGTGCTCTAAAAGTGTTGAAATGATAGTTGAGGAAATCAAAGTAATAGAATTTAAATTTTAATGTAGATATGAAAGCAAACTTCACATTCACTTGTTACAATTTCTTTACTAATTAATATGATAAAACATAATCCATCCGTAATTCGCAGTACAACTTCATAATTCATCAGTAATTTCTTTACACATTGGAAGTGTTGTCATGCTTGAAATGAGTTGAAGGCAAAGGAGGAGGAGCAGCAGCAGCAGTAGGACAAGTACCGGGAGGTGGAGTGGGTACCCCAAAAACTTGGGGATTGGTTCTGAGATCTTGTCTACCTTTAGCTCTCCCAACAAAATAACACCCAAATCCAATAAATATTGTGAATATTATAAATGGAAGTGATATAACCACTACCATACCCATCTCTTGCTTTCTTTTTTTCTTCTTAATTTGCTTCTATGGAGTTTGTGGTTGGTGACGGAATGCAGAGAATATGGAGGAAGGAAGGTCTAGATTCTGTCTATGGAAGATTCTATGTGTAGAATTGATGTTTTAAAGAGTTGGGTGAGCTGGATTCTAACGGTAGGCTTAACGTTCAAGCTTCTAACGGATACTTCTTGTTTATTGGCCACTTCATTTTTCCATAGAGAGAGAGAGATGGAATATGCTGACAGCTTAGAGGAATTTTGTTTACTTTCTTTGGACAAAAAGATTTATCTTAGCTCCACTAGTTTTTTTTTTTTTTTAAATAAAATTTTACACCTTTACATGGTGCCTTCCTTTTATATTAATCCCAGCAAAAAAAGCACCTAACAGAGGGTGACTTCACCTTACCTCTGCTAATAGAACAAATACAAGGATAGAGCAGCTTTCTTACCAATATTACGTAAGGAAGTCTACCTATGTATGTAAGGAGTCCCCAAAAAGTGGTTATGCAGAAAATTACATAAATTCAGTAACAAATTTCCTTTTTCCACTGTGTCTACATGTAGCCATTTGTATCTTGTCCATTACATATGGGCATGTAGCTTGATTGGGAAGATCCTTCCAACTATAAAAGATAGAATTCCCCATGAACGATGCTCCATTTAGCCAATGCATCTGCTACTTGATTAGCTTCACGATTGCAATGCTGGATTGAAAACTCGCAAGATTACAAGAGTTGTAGAATATCCTTAATTTGCCAAGAATGATTGTACAAGCCTTTCAACATGTTAACCAAGATCAAAGAGTCACATTCTAAAATCAAACTGCGATATCCCTGGTCGATGCACCATTTAACTCCAATCAATGCCGCTTTAGTCTCAGGTAAGTTACTACTACCCCTTCCCAGTGGTTGTGCAAATGCCATAATCAAAACACCATTAGAATTTCTAATGATTCGCCCTGATCCCATATACCCTTCTCCATCCCTACTACCATCTGTGTTAAGCTTAACCCAATTTGCAACTGGTTTAATCCATCTAACAATAGTAGTTTCAAAAGTAGGAACAAGTGCCTAAATTTGTTGGCAGATGTTTTTCTCACAATCTTTGTGATCATATCATTAAAAAAAGAAATCCTCTTCCTTCCCGCATACAATGGACACCCCAAGTAAGTCATAGGAAATTCTTTATACTTGTATCCTGTGATATCATTTATTCTCTGAATGTCTTCACTGGAGGCAATTGATAAAGCAATTCTTATCTGTATTAATAAGTTGGCCTGAACATACTTCATACTTTTCGAGCTCCACTAACCAAGATAGTGTTTGGACATGCATTTTATTTGAAGAAAAGTTAAAGTTTTCTGAGTGGAAAAAAAAATTTCACCCAAAAAACTGAGCAGATTTTGGGAACTCAAAATTTTTTGAATTTTTTCCTCCCAAAACATGATCATATTTCATAAACAAACAATATTTTCATTTTTTTTTTTTTTGGAAAAAATGAAGCCAAAATCTATGGTCAAATGGTAGCTAGGAGTGTGGAGGGTAAAATTTATTCTAAGAAATAATGTCTATTCTAAATATTTGGTTTTGATTGTAAAGGTTATGCTATGGAGTATTTTATGTTCTGTTCGTACAATCCCTTTTGGTGCGCCTTACATTTGAGTTTTTGTTTTACCTATACTGAATAAATTGGGAAATGTTGTGACAGATAGGCTAGCTGAAAGTTGTTGCAATTATTTTCAGTAAATAGACAAACCATTTCATGGTTTTGTTAAAGTGAATCTTCAGTACTGGATGTGTATTATCTGCTGGAACTTTTTCAATAAAGTAAAAACCATCTGTTGAACTGGACACTAGAAACATCTAAAGAAAACAATTGATTCCTTCTTGAAAGCTACCACAAAATTTTAAATAACACGAAACGGAAACGGATCCATGTGAACCATTATTTGGACCATCATCTGAATTTCGAACTGCAGTTACCATTATTTGGAACATTATCTGAATTTAGATGGTTATTTAAACTGAAAGTTCAGACTAGCACAACTAAATGGATGACAAAAGGCAGAGAAAATCTAATGAAACTGATTTAAAATCAATATGCTTTCTCTTGCTCATCGACTTCTGGAGTCTCTTGTTCAGCTTTCTCTTGCTCGGCTTCCTGCACCTCCTTCTCCGTCTTCCTTCCTTTCTTGGATTTATAGTACGCGCTCATGAAGGTTCCGATGGCTTTATATTTTTTTCTGCACTGCTCGTAGAGGCTATTATCAAACATCCTCCAGAAGTTCTTCTCTGTCAGTTCAGTGACCGCGTATTGAGCCTGGAACCCGTGGTTTTCGATCAACCAAAGCTCCAGTTGGCGGCATTTCTCTGCACCATCAAAGGGCTCACCCCTGAGGACTGCTCCAGGAACATAGTAGACGCCAATATCAGTATACATCTGAGCATATTCAGTGTCACCCTGCCTGCGGTGTGCCTCAAATCCTGGTTCAGGATAGATCATAGGTTTCACAGGCAGCTTGTAAATTCTGTGTGGGCAGAGCCAGATAGGATATACCTAAACAAATTTAATTCAAATACAATCAGACATGAAAAGTATTTCTTCTGTTCGTTGCACTCTTGGAACAAACATGAAAACCATAGAGAACACAGTCAATCTTATTGTGCTTCGTGCATGAACAGAAAACAAAGAGTATAGAGTTTTACCTCCATTTCGCGGTGGACCCACTCAAGACAATCTCCAACCTTGTAAAGAGGAACAAGCAGATCCTGAATGACATGATGGTCATGGTAATAGTTCCTGATAGCCTCACTTTGAGTGGCCTTGAGCAGAGCGATCTTGGGTGGCATGAGCCATCCTAGGAGAAATCTAAACCAGAACTGATCACCAAATGGAAGAATTAGTTTCCCTTCCCAATACAAGGATCTTGTGTGCCTGTGATAGTAGTCCCTAGTTGGAATGTACTCCACAAATTCCCCTCTTTTCAGTGCAGTTTGAGCATGCTGGTAAAACCATGGTTTGAACCACCAACCATAATTGTTGATTACATTACCCTTTTGCTTGGCTTCCTGTTTCGAAGCATATCTACCGGTCATCATAACACCTTCTGTGGGACTATAAATCATGCCTTCTACCATCTCTGGAACTTTAGAAGGATTGTCCTGGTCTCCATCTCTAGGTGCAAAAGAATCCGCATAAGCCTGTGCAAGCTCTTTAAGATTACCAGTTACAGGTTTGTAGGTAAGTCTCACGTACTCCTTAACTTGTATAAGCTTGATTTCAGCTGAAACAAGAAGACCCAATGTCCCCTGAGACCACGGGATAGCGTAAAAAAGATCAGAATACTCATTGTCCTTTGTAGCTCTAACCACCCGTCCGTCTGCTAGAACTATCTCAAGTGCCACAACAGTGTCAGAGAACAATCCAAAGATGTGAGAGCTTCCTTCAATCCCGAAGCCATTGATCAGACCACCAACGGTCAGATCATCAAGCTCAGCAAGAACTGCAAGGGAAAGATTTATTGGGACAGTAACTCTAGAGATTTGGCCCATATTGACCAGAGGCTCAACTCTAGCAATCATTCTTTCCTTGTCAATTTCAAGTATATTTCTGAACTTAGAAAGATCAACTTCAAAATGACGAGCACGCTTATAGTCTACATTTCTCATTCCGACAACCACCCACGGAGGCCTGCCTGTGCAGACGAGACCATCCTTTGATGCATCCCTCTCCCCAAGGCGCTTCACGACCTCTTTAACATTTTCATCGTGTTCCTTCTGACGCTGCTCATATGATTTCCTCTCAGATTTAACATCCCCTAGATATATGGAGAAGTAAAACAGGAACGAAAAAGGAAGGACAAAGACGATAACAATGATCCATCTGAATTGGAGAAGAAAGTCCACCACCTGCTTCTTCCTCTTGGGATGAAGGGGGGCCTTAGCATCCGACATCTTGGAAAAAGAGGCCAGTACAGCTGTAACAATGATGAAACCAAGTTATGAACCACAAACAAAAACTGTGCTTCTCGCATATCCAGTTTACAACTTTAAATTCCAGATCTAATGAAATTTAGGTCATGGACAAATAAACTAGGAACGAAACGAAGAACAATCCTGTTTTCAATCACATATAGCAAATATTCTGTATTCAGAAGCGTTGAAGCAGATCAGCTGAGCACCACTTTGCAATGAAATTTGCACTACAAGATTTGAAGTAAATGTGAGTGTCGTTACTGTAGAATCCCATTGCCATTTAAGTTTTAAAAAAAATAGAAAAGCGCTTCTCTGGAGAGACATGGACTGGGTATAACAAAAAGTATTCTGTATTCAGAAGCGTTGAAGCAGATCAGCGGAGCGCCACTTTGCAATGAAATTTGCAATACAAGATTTGAAGTAAATGTGAGTGTCGTTACTGTAGAGTCCCATTGCCATTTAAGTTTTTAAAAAAATAGAAAAGCACTTCTCCGGAGAGACATGGACTGGGTATAACAAAAAGGATTTGGCAATAGAATGACCTCCCTTCTTTATACCATGAGTAAAGAACATAGGAAAACGAATTTTAAGAAACTCAAGGCACCTCACTCCTTGGAAAACAGCACATATATGATATAAATAATGCAAAAGCTCTTCCACAGGTATAATAATGTTATTGCAAGTCAGATTAGCATTTTGACTCTTGAGTAACAGCATTCGGCGAAAAGTGCCAAGTGGGAAGTTCAGTTATATTTCAAAACCAAGTTGAAAGTGATGCATAACAGCATTGTAAAATCAACCAATGCCAAGGTAAAACTGACTAAAGATCCCAATGAAGATTAGTGCTGAAGGAAAAAGATAATTAAAGCTCCCAATGTCAATTATACAGACAGCCTGAAGCTAGTTCAATCCAGCTATTTCTTTCAAAAGGATCAGATAACACCATCTTAAGACCAGGAAAAAAACAGAAACCACACATGGTCAACGAAAACAGAGTAACTCGATCAGACCAGCAAAATTAGATCTCGTGGAACTTTGAAAATTAACTTTAACATGCAAAACAAACAAATGAATTTTGACAATTGAGTAAATTTAACATGCAAAACAAAAAAATTATGTTCTTCCCATGTAACTATTGCAGCATCACCTATAAGATTATGCTCTTTCACTACAACAACAACGATATAAAAAATAAAGCACATGTTAAAAATGCTTCAGGTTAATTTAACACATTATGAACGTACGTCATCCTTAAAGCAGTAATTTCATTACCATATGTCAAAAAAGCATTGTCTCCAATAATATGATGCAAAAAGAGCATGTTACTAATTCCCAGTTTCTACTCTTTAAAACAACCACCAAAAAAGACACACACACACACAAAAAAAGAAGGAATTACATGAGTTAAATACCAGTCTGTCATGCATAGGTATAATTCAGTCATTTTTTTTTGTGTTACAAAAGTTAGTTTTATGCGAACAAATTGAAAGTTGGATAATTATCCGCGAAATTAACCTCACAACTATGGCATGCATTCAATATAGCAACGCATTCAGCAAAATTTATTTGTTGTACTCTAAAACATGCTATGGATGGTACAAAAGGTAAGGGCTTCTCATTCAACACATAATTGACCCAAATTTCTGCAAAATCTCAACATTTCATACGATTTTCAAGAATAAATAGCTTCAAATTTCTATTTACATTCGAAAAAGTAACGATCCCACCGAGAAATAATGAGAGATATATATAGAGAGAGAAGAAATACCTGTAAATAGAGTGCACAGTGTACTGAGAGAGATGATTGTAAATAGGCTGACAATGTGCTTTATAGAGTGAGTTTACAAAAGTAGGGGCATTTAGGGAACAAAACGGTACCTACCTCACGGAATTCCTTAAACACGTTTTGGCTTTATTTTAAGTTAGGGATTTTTAAGTTTTCACATTATTTTTATATATTCAATGTATATTCGCAAAGGTTATGAAATAGTTGTCCAATTAGTTATCTCTAGAAAGGTAAAGGTGCTCAACAAAACCCTACAATTTAAAAAACAAATAATACAAGTAAGTACTTGTTGTTATAAAATAAAAGCAATGCAGTAAAATATAGACAAGAAGAGATAGAGAGAATGTAGAAGTGCTTTCTTCTTTCACTTTGGTGTAATTTTTCATTGCAATTACATGGCCTTTTATAGGCATAAAAAGTAAAGATGATGGACATAAAATAGGAAATTTAATCTTTAAGTTATTCACAACATGGGCATCCAATGTAGCATCCAATGTAGTATCCAAAGTAGTATCCAATGTACAAACTATTCATAACACTCCCCCTTGGATGTCCATGTAAGATAATGTGCCTCATTAAAAACTTACAAAAAAATAATATTGGGATGTACATAGTTATTTATAATATGCATTGCTTGCTGCCTCATTAAAAACCTTACCAGGAAAACCCAGTGGGACAAAACCTTGGTTAAAGAAAAGAGTGCAGTGTGTAGTTACTCCCCCTGATGAAAAATCACTTAATGTCTCGAAGACGACGCATTCCAATCTTATATATCAGCTTTTCAAATATTGAGGTTGGTAATGCCTTAGTGAACAGATCAACCAAATTATCACTTGAACGAACTTGTTGTACATCTATTTCACCATTCTTCTGAAGATCATGAGTGAAAAGGAATTTCGGTGAAATGTGTTTTGTTCTATCTCCTTTGATATATCCTCCTTTCAATTGAGCTATGCATGCAACATTGTCTTCATACAATATTGTTGGAATATTCTCTTTCGAAGAAAGACCACATGTTTGCTGAATGTGTTGAGTTATAGATCTTAACCAAACGCATTCTCGACTTGCTTCGTGAATGGCTATTATCTCTGCATGATTTGAAGAAGTAGCAACCATAGTTTGTTTTGTCGAACGCCATGATATGGTTGTACCTCCACTTGTAAATAAATAGCCTGTCTGAGATCGACCTTTGTGTGGATCAGACAAATATCCTGCATCTGCATAACCAATCAATGATGGCTTGGATTCATTTGAATAAAATAAACCCATATCAATGGTCCCTTGGAGGTATCTGAATATATGTTTAATACCATTCCAGTGTCTTTGTGTTGGCGAAGTACTAAATCTTGCCAATAAGCTTACTGAGAAAGCTATATCTGGTCGGGAATTATTGGCAAGATACATTAATGCCCCAATTGCACTAAGATATGGTACTTCGGCACCAAGAAGCTCTTCATCATTTTCATGAGGTCGGAATGGATCTTTCTTTATATCAAGTGATCTCACAACCATCGGGGTACTCAATGGATGTGCTTTATCCATATAGAATCGCTTTAAAATCTTTTCGGTGTATGTCGATTGATGGACAAATATTCCATCTTTCATATACTCAATTTGTAGACCAAGACAAAATTTTGTCTTTCCAAGATCTTTCATTTCAAATTCTTTCTTCAAATAGTCTACTGTTTTTGGAAGCTCCCCAGGAGTTCCAATGATATTTAAATCATCAACATACACGACGATTATAACAAATTCAGATCCAGACCCTTTTATAAAGACACAGGGACAAATTGGATCATTCTTGTATCCTTCTTTCAACAGGTATTCACTCAGGCAATTGTACCACATACGTCCTGATTGTTTCAATCCG